GAACTGCGGGGGCGGGTCGATCTCCTCCGGCGGAAGTATCCCCGAGGCTTCGAAGAGGCGGGGCTCCGCCTCGTTTTCGCGATCGCCCTCCCCGGTGCGCGTGATGAGGGGGGAAAGACGGCCCCCCTGCTCGACCCGGCGTTGGTGGGTGCGGGAAAGATACGGCGGCGGGGCGGCCCGCGCGGGAGGTTTCGCCGCCGCCGCCCTCAACGTCGGGGGGGGGGAAAAGACCGGCAGGGCGGCACGACTGACCGGCCGTGCGATGCCCTTCGCGGCGTCGCCACTCGCCCGCGTGGGGGATGGCGAGGGCGGCCTGGATGTTTTACCCCGACGTCTATTTCTTCTCGCCATGGGTGGAACTATAGATCGCTATTTCTAGGTCTATCTCTATACGGGAAATTATTATTAGTTGTTGTTGTTGTTGTTGTTGTTGTTTTGGGGGGGTTATGGTTGGTTTGAATGGATTGTGAACTCTGTGTGATAGCGTCTTAGCCCTTCTAACTATCGACACGAGTAATTCCTCAATAAAAAATAAGCCACAAACTGAAAGAGTGCAAATTCATGGAGAGGGATACGGATGTATAAAGATATTCGTATAACATATGATTCGTCTTGAAGGATTCATCCGAATAAACGATCTACAATGAGGTACCCAACACGTAACGTTATCCTTTTTTTTTTGTTATGGTTATGAAATAACATACAGAATCGATGCCATCCCAGAACTTTACTCCCCTATCTATAAGATAAGTTTCGTCGAGTAGATCATGATTAATTGGTATTCTTTCAACCACTAGGCAGAACAAATAAAAAGCGAATTTCTGTCATTTTTTTTTTCCCCCTATACATCCCTCCTCGATCAATCCACCTCTGTGAATCGGTTTGATTGTCGAATTTATCCCATTCCCGGTGCCTTTCCGTCGCCGGGAGGGGAATGCATCGATCGCATGGAGGCCGCCATCTCCATTCGCAGCAACTGGCCATCGCGGATGTCCTCCGGCGAAGGCGGGACCCCGGCCTGCATCTTCGCCGCCATTTCCTGAATTCGTTTCTGCATTTTTCCCCCCCG